CCCCCACCGAGCCCCCGCCGCAGGAGCCGGCTCCTCGAGCTCCCCGCGCTTCCCCGGCCTCTCTCGAGGCAGGTTCCCTGCCACCCGAGCGGCCTTTCCGCGCCGCAGCGCGTCAAGAGGCACCAGGCAACCCCACTCTATATTTAGGCCGTGGAGAATTCCCTGGGCTCTCCCTCCCGCGCTGACAAGGTGAGTCACTGCGAGGGAGAGGCCACGACGCGCACCCGTCCCACTGACCCCGCTCTGACCCGCGCACACCGCTCCGAGCTGGCAGGGCTGCCGCGTTTCGGAGGGCGGGAGGTGGCTGCAGGTGCACCCCGGGGAGGCAGCCAAAGGAACGGCGTCCAGGAGCGACAGCCGGCGCCGCGCACCGCTCCCGGGGCTGGGGTGCACGCTCCCATCACCTGGCTGTAGGTTGCTCTGTGGGTGCGTTTGTCCCGCCAGTGTCAAAGGGGACAGTGAGTCAGAGGGGAGCCTTTGGCCCCCAAACGCCCCCCCATCCTCTCTTTCCTTCTACTCGCAGGTGGTCCTGACCCACCGCAGTCACCCTGGGCCACGCACTCCTCTATTCAGCCTGGGCTGTTCCGCCTGGAGACCCCCACCCAGGCAGAGGGAAGGGCTTGGAGTCACCTCCCTGGTTCACAGGGACAGCTTCCCATCAGGACCTGTCCCTGGCCGTGGTAGGGAGCTGGGACGCCAGGGAAAGCAGAGCAGGAGCCATGCTCCCTCCGTGGACCTGGAGCCAGCGAGGCGCAAGATAAAGGTGCCCCATAGCTTTGTAGTGCTCGTTAAATCAGACTAAACCAAACTGATGCCATCACAAGCCTCCACACGGGGGTGCTTCCCCTGGGGGCGGTGAGGAGCCCAGCACGGACACCGAAGGCTCTTCACCCCCCTCCTCCTCCCGGCTGCAGCCACCCGCTCTCTGGCATCTCAGCTGACTGCAGCACACGGATGGTGCCCACCACCCCATCGCTGCCCCAGGGCTCCCACAGCAGCTGGGTAAAGACCCAGCTCAAGCACCAAGGCGGAGGGGCGGGTGCCCACCCTTCTTGCCCAGGTCCAGCCCAGGTACCTCACTGCTGCTGTGGCAGGGACTCTACGGGCGACGGTCCCGGGTCCAGGCTGACACACAGGACCCGCAAAGGGAGTGTTGCCTGGCAAGAGCCACAGAAATCCAGTCCCTTGGGCTCCTTGAGTAGGAAAAACCATCTGGGGGAGAATATTCAGAGGAGTATCTGCCACAGCATATGCTGAAAAACAAGCTGGAAACCCCAGCTCTCCACACTGGAAACCTCACAGAGCATCCAAGGGGGAGGCATATACTGGGGGGAGCAGGGACTGCCTGGCTGGGGGGCCAGAGGTACAAGGGAAGGGACATGGGAAGGGGAGAGGGAAGGGAGAGACTCCCAGCATCTGTCTTCCGCAGCCTGGAAGAGACAGGATCTTTGAGCTGCTCCCAGACTACAAAGCAAGCAGCAGCCACAACCAGAAGCTGGACAGGAAGGACTTGCCCGTGAGCAAGCTCCTTGGCCACGGGCACACCATGCAGGAGTGGTTCCTGAGGGGCACATCCCACGCTGGTCTGTGGGCAGCATCCGGCACCGTGTCCTGAGAGCTGCCTCTGCCCACAGCCTGGTCTCAAACCATTCCATACAGTCAGCTCCTCTGCCCCACGCCTGGGTCATTGCCTGCCCCTCCCGCATGTCCCCTACGGGGTCTCAGCCCCGGAGCCACAGCCCCCTGCAAGTGGAGGGGAGCAGAGGTGGCCCAGGGAAACCGTGCAAGCCCTGCTCCGAGCACCCCTTGTCCACGTCATGGCCATGTTGTCCCTTCAGGTCAGAGCAAGGCAGAATGCAATCCCTGGGCTGCGTTAGATGCAGCGCCAGGACCACGAGCCCGGGCAGCATCCCTCCCGAATCCCCCTCCTCTGAGCCCAGCACTGCCTGACCGCACGCCGGTGCCTCGACACACGGACTCGGCTCGGGACAGTGCCGTGGGCTCAGTCCAGCCTGCTCCAAGCTAGGAGAGCGTGGGAGCCCGTTTCCAACTGCAACCATTCCCCTGCTGCCCACGCTCTCCAGGTGGATGAGACTACCCCGCTGTCCTCGCACTTGGCCACGTTGCTCAGTTTATTCCAGCTCCTCTGAAATACATATACAAATCAAATGTGCAAATACTGCATCTTGAGACCAAGACGGCAAAGGCAGGGACGCGCTCCTGAGAGCCGGAGGAGCAGCAGTGCTAGAGCAGCACGGGAGGAGCTTGGAAACGAAGTGAGCAGGGGCTGAGCAGAGGGTGAGGGTTCCCAGCAGGCCCCCACCCGTGCCAGCAGGCTCCACCATCACTGAGGTCACGCATCACTTAAACAGGGAACATGATTGAGTCTGGAACGTAAAACAAACATCTTCGGCGGCCCACTCTCAAACTGTAAAGCTTCAGATCTCCGTGCAAGATCTGACCTCCTTCTAAAGAATAAATTACTCCTCTCCCACACACACAAAAAAGCGAGATGCTGTCCAGAAACGGTGACACCGATCTGCACGGACTCCACGGGGGCCCTGTGCAGCAGGCACAAACCAAGAGGCCTGAAAGCCTTGAGCACACCGAGGCAGGCTCCTCAGCGCCGCGACAGGCAGCGAGCTGGGGAGGGTCTGCTGCAGGAGGGGAAGCCGTCGGCTCCCCGCTTCCCCTCGGGGTCAGGGCAGAGGCAGAGCAGGGCAAACGGCTATGGAGAACGCAGCCAAGTAAGTGGCTGCTGCCGCTGCCTCTATGCAGGAAGCAAGGACAAGCGCAGAAAAACAAACCCATGCTCATCTCTATCCAGAAGCTCTAAGTGGAGAACGAGGGAAAGCCATTATTCTCCCTTCGAATTACAGCAGCACCAACGACACCGAGGTTTTGGACGGATTTGTTTTCCTGGGGAAAGGTCTGAGGCCGGTGACAACGCAGACGGAGCATGGAGAGGCCGGGCTTTTTGCAGGGCTGTGCACAAGCAGACTTTGCCTTGCACCTTGGTATTTCTAGTATGATTCCAGCAGAGTTTCTTTTAAAAAATAATACTTTGTACATTCAGGCATTGCTGCCTCGGGGCAGCGTCACCTCCCATTTGGCACAAATCGTTTTATTCACAAACCTTTCTTCTCTCTTGTGAGTCTTTCCTGTTTAATTCAGGACACAGAGGATCCACCTGTGATGCAGAGTTCAAGAACTGCCCACTCAGCCCCTTGCCCACCTCCTGCCAGCTCTAGGCCTGGAGGCAGCAGATGCAACCCTCGTGTGTTGAGGGTGACCCCAACGTGAGAGGGTCTTCCCAGAGCACCCGGGCATCTCTATGTGTCTTCAGTGAGGTGGGATTCTTGCGGGGGGCTGCCAGTGCCTGCTCCCAGAGCTGCAGCGTGCGTCTTCGTCTCCTCCCTTGGAGGCAGTGGCTGGGGCCCCCCTAGGTCAGTGATGACTCGGGCTTTCACCAGCTTCCGCAGGAACTCCTTCTCCCGTTGGATGTTGTGCGTCCAGGACTGGAAGGAAATGGGAGAGACAGGAGGTCAGCAGCTATCCTGGCCAAGCATGCTCCCGTCCCCCACGTTGTGGGACACTCCACCTGGGGTGGGGCAGTGGCTTCCGCCAGGGAGACAGATCCCACTGCAGACCAAGGGCCTTCTCTTATCTAAAGCCAACACAGTCAGCAGGGTCAGACCCACATACCTGAGGCTGGGTGAACTATTTTTGGCCTGGTGAGATCTGGGCAACCCAGGTACCCTGGGCAGATGTAGCTGGTGACAGTGTCCTCCCAAGCCACGGCACACAAGAGTCCAACAGCGCACCACTAACAGTGATGTGTGCCGGGGAACAGAGCTGGCAGAGAACACGGTGGCAGGACATGGTGTGCCCACACGCAGCTCCTTGCCAAGGGAGGTCCTGGGGAACACACGGGGGTGCATGCAGCTGAAAAGCCCCAAGACCAGCCCCACCAAGGCCAGCTCTTGCCTCTGCTAGCCCTATCAAGAGGAAATCACACGCTAAAGGTCACACTAATACAACGCACAGGGTCAAACGGCCACATTTCCCAGCCAGGCATTTCAGAGCAACGATTGCTATAGCTGGTGTCAGCCCACCCAGATGTCTGCCCTGCAGCAGGCTTTAGCTGTCCATGAGCATCGGCCATCGCCCCCCTGTGCTGGTACTGTTAAAGCACTTAATGAAAGCAGTAAGTGGTTCATCCCCTGGGGAGACCAAGGCAGAGCAGGGAAAAGCAACTTTCCCCAAAATCTCCCAACAGGACAAGAATCCCAGTAAATGAATTCAGGTCTCCAGCACAGTGCTCTGGCCAGCAGGTAATCTGACCTCTAAATACAATCTGGACCATGATAAGATCATTCTGCAGGAGCCTCCCTGAAATGACCTCAACCAACAAATCACCAGCCCGAGCAGCCCTCTGAGGGCACTTTGTCATAGGTATCTAAACCCAGTTTACCCTCTGCAAAACTGTGGGCACCTGCCTGCAAAGCACGGGTTGCGCCCATCACACACACAACGTGCACGTGGCTCTCCTGTCATCTGTGGATGTCCTGTCCTATCCAGGACAAGCAGCTCTCAGCCACGACTGCTGACTGTGTGGCACAGACAGCCCTGGTCATGGTGTGGAGCCTGCTGCCAAGAGGTCCAAGGGACTGAAGGTCCCTCTCTCGATCTCCAGCACTTTTTGGAAATAGCTCTCTTGCTGGTACTGTGCATTTACAAGCCACTTTCCATCCCCTCAGTGCACAGGAATGATGACAGTTAAGGCTGCTAAGGAAAGTTGAGGCAGATCTTATCCCGTAACTTGTGTTGAATAAGTCTTTGACTTCCTCCACTTCCAATGACACTGTTACCTGAACACGGCAAAGGTTGCACCAGCACCAGGAACAACGGGGCCACGCGTGGTAAACTGTGTGGGTGCTCTTTGGGACTCTGAAAACACAGAAGACTCCGTCTGTAAACTGAGTAACGATGCCCAGAAACAGCTCAGTGCTTGGCTTCTGCTGGCATAAAAGCAGAACCTGAAAACTGGCAACGGCAAGAAAGCTGGCTCGTAAAAGGAAAAAAGCATGAATTTCAGAAAGCAGCAGTGGGAGTGACGGTGGTGCAGAGCAGAGGGAGCTGGAAGAGTGGGGCTGTGTGTGCCTGTCCCTTGGAGCAGGAGAGCCAGGATCCCCAGTGCGCTGGAAACAGTCCCACGTGCGGCCTGTCAGCCGGGGGTCCCGGCTCGGACCCCGCCACGCAGCAGTGTCTCTGCTGACAGCGCAGCCCCTCGCTAGGAACGCCACCGGAAGCCGCAGCCAAGCGTGTGTCTGTGCTCCTGCCCACAGGCACCGAGCAGCTGTCTGCTGGCACAGGGGCCGCGCCGGGAACACCAGGTCTCGACACCGACACATCTGGCTGGGCTTGTTGTTCAAAGCCGATCTGGAGAACCAGGGAGCCTGATGTGCCTGACACGTCATAGCACAAGCTGGTCCCTCCTTCAGCCGTCTTTCAGCCTCATCAGTATGAGAAGCCAACTGGTTTCACCCAGTACAACCTGCTCGCGTCCCCTGGTACGGACGGTAACTGGGGAAGCAGCCACTTCTAGGCAAACTCAAACCACCTAAAATGTCACCTGAGGCCACGTGCAAGTGGCGTATCTGATGGCAAGGGGAGATCTGCTTTGTGAAAGGTGCAACTGGAGCAGGAATTTAAGTACAGGAGGTGGGTAATAAAATTTTGGGCAATACAGTTGCACTCTCTCACATTACAGCTGGGTCTGGCTCCAGCACTGACTGCAAGGCAGCTGGCAAGACCCGTAAACCTCTTGCCAGTTCAGCATCCAGGCTGCTCTATACCCCAGGCACTGCCACAAACTCCTCCTTCCACGCAGAAAGCCACACGTAAGGGAACTAAGCCTCCCATCTGATCCATGGATCTTAGCGGTGTCTGCGGCAGTAGCCTCAAGCGTTCTGTGGTTGAATGTAAGACCGCAGAGGAAGAGGATTCCCTGGTGAGGAGGGGCTTTCATCCTCCCCAAAGAGCTCTAGCAGAGCGCTCGCTCAGTGCGGTGCTGCTCCCCCCGCGCCCGACAGCAGCGAGGGCAGGAGGGATGAGGCATGTCTCCAACACCAGCTCCGGTTACTGATTACAGGAGAGGGACTCACCCCGCTGACAGACAGAGCTAATCAGGCAAAGGAAGCCGCATTCCAGCCCCAGCGGCCGCAGGGAGGAGAAGAGCCGGAGTAGATTTCTCAAAACCGCCAAGGAGAGGCAGGCACCTCGCTCCCATTGCCCCAACAGGGGAAAGGCAATGCAATACCCCCTAAAGCTCAGCAGGTTTTAGGGTATACACACCCTAAACAGCACCCTGGTAGCAAACACTGCTGGCAGGCGGGAGGGCTCTGTCAGACGGCTGCAGGGTCTCATGAAAAGCCAGCCTTTGGCAGGCTCAGTTTGCTTTGGGGCCAGGACCACGTTATGGCTGCTCAAGTGGAAGTTCTCTTTTGCCACCCCTCACTGAGTAAGCTGAGGTTCTGTGTAGCCAAGCTCATGGGCAAGTTGTCCTGGAAATCTCTCGGTTATCGCAGTGTCTTGAGCTGCAGCAGGATGGTAAGAAAGAGGCAGTGCTTCAGCCACCCGTGTTTCTGCACACAGGGCTGTGCTGTCAGTGTGCTTATTTCGACATTTTAAGCAGGGTGTTGTGAGCAGCATCCACACCTGGAGAAGGATTACATGAAGTAGCTGCAATGTTGGTGGTTTATTCCTGCTATTACTGCAAAGAAGCCTTTTCCAGCACTGGGATGCTGGATGCGCTTTTACTGTGCTGGCAAGATGCTCACTGTCCCTTCTGACTGCTTTGACCCTCTCTTCCCGTGCACACTGAGCCGTTACTGCCCCATTTCCTACTCCTGATGTCAGACTATTCACATTCACAAAGCTCCTGCCCCGAGTCCTGAAGCTACACCTCAGCATCAAAAGCAGAAAACTTCAGCTCTTCTCATGAATCTGCACCTCCAGACAGCAACAGAGCAGCTTGGAACTGCCACCTCCACCTTCTTGTCCCTGCACATCACTACCACCACTGCTCCTGCGACCTCGCAGACTGGCTCTGCCCTCTCCCTGCACCGAGCAGGCGGCCGGTGCAGCTTAGAGTCCTAGAATCCTTCAAGTTGGGAAAGACCCTTAAGATCATTGAGTCCAACCGTTTGTTTCCACTTGTGCAAACAAACGGACTGCTTGTCTGAGCCCATGGCCAGAGTAATGAACTTCTGGGAGCTCCACTAGAAACATCCCAGGAGGCTCCAGAGCCCTTCTTGCTGTTTGGGGATCAGGCTGGGATTTCCTTTGCTTTGGGTCTCTCTATGATCAGTACGTGCTTGCTCTTTTCAGTGGAGAGAGAAACAGCAGGAGGAGTCGCTCTGCAAGCAGATGCACGGTTATGGCTGTCCATCCCAGAGAGGTGGCAGTGGGTCTGATGTGTGACTGTTTGGTCACAGTTATTAGATCAACATTTATCATCAGTTAAAGCCATCTTTCAGGGTTATGCAAATGCAGCAGCCCCAAACCACCCGTTCTTTTTTTCTCAACAACTCCACGAGGAAGTACAAAACATCCTCTGTCCCTTCAAGAGAAGCCAAGTAGAATATTTTAAGACTAAGAAAATGTTTCAGAGACCAACCCAGGAGGAAGGTAAGCTCCCATCTGTAATCAATTACAATCGGGGAATGCCTCAGCTTCAGAGCACATTAGTCTTATCAAGTATGTTGCAATATCTTAAAATACAGGAAGATTAAATCAGAGAGAGTGAAGTCAATGAGGAATGCATTCAAGAAAAACAGCAAGTTGTAAAGCAGGAGGTTTCTCAGTTTTGTTATGTGTTGCGTATTTGTGCAAGTCAGCAGCATTTCTCGCTCCAAACCTGCATAGAAACGACACCAGCAGCCAGGAGTGCCACTCCACTGGTAACAGCCAGTTTCCAGTCTCCACTGGTGCTAACTTGCCTCTGCCTTTAACACGGACTGCCTTGTCTCTAGCGCTGCTTATATTACACGGTTCTGCCTTGCCCAGGCCCTTGCTCGGGTCCCGGCATGGTGACCACGCACACTAGGTGGTTTACAGCCACCCCTGAGCTGCAGTGTCACCTCCTGTGACACCAGTGCCCTGCCTCCTTCAGGACCTGTTGCCCCCTCCTCTCTCAGCACCAAGACCACCCCATCCTGCTCGCACCCCACGGGAGTCACACGGGCCGGAACGAAAGGAAAGGCTGGGCACCCTCATCTTGTTTAGGAAACATCTACTCACATCTCCCTTAAGCCCAGTCATTCTTACACCAACCTGAAGCTTTAAACAGCTCTTTTAGCTCCAGCTTATTCTTCATACATACAGAGAGAGCAATTGTACCTCTTTTCAGTCTTCATTTTACCAAGCTAAACAAGCCGCGTTTTCTTTTTCCTTCCGCCAAAAGAAGCTGTTCACGCCCTCTATGAAAACTGGGAAATTTCCCAGAAGCGCAGTA